TTTATGCAGAGTGAGGGCTTATGTAAGAATTCTTACATAAGCATAGCTTAAAGCAAGGTGTATTGAGACCACAAATGCATACTGTAGCTGTTTAAAAACATGCGCTTTGAATGAAGAGACCTTCCAAACAGGCTTTGTGTGAGCCACATTGCTGTTTATTTACCTGGGTGCAGGTGGGCTAAGGCCAAAAAGGGCATTAGCAAAGGGCAGTGGGATAGGAGTTGGTTTTATAGGTTTGGGTAGGTTTTTGGGGGGCGGGGGTGTTGCAGAGTAAGTTCAGTGACAGTGATGGGGGTCGGGGCAAGGAGTATACAAGTTCGGTTACAATGGCAGGGTTGGGTGAGAGGTATTTACGTTATCATAAGAACAGTTAAGATGGCAGGGTTGGGTGAGGGGCTTGTGGGAAGCTCTGCTGGGCAATCAGGGACAATGGCGAACACAGGCAGAGGGCGGGAGACTTCAGCCGAGGCAAGCAGGACTCCAGACTTTCAGGCTTCAGGCTTGCATATGGAGACCTGACAGTGGCTCTTTTCCCAGGTCCTGGGTGTGCATTTGTTAATGATTATGATATGTGTCTAGATGACCACCACAAGTTTGTGTTCTTTTCTGTTGTCTGGAATTGATCCTGGGATGTCTGCCCAGGCACCTTTGTTTCATTTTGTCTATCAGATGAATTTTCTTCAATGCAGTGTGAATAGAAGCAATATGCCATTTGGAGCTTGGTTTTAAAGAAAAGGATGTTCTGTCCAGATGGAGGAAGAATGTCAACCATATGGGATGGTAAAGCTGAAAGATAGAACTCTGTCCCTAAACCACTATTTGGAGGAAAGCTCCCCAGTCATCCAGGAACACCAGCAATGGATTATTATATGAGTGAGAAATAAAGTTACATTGTATTAAGGTAATGATATTTGGATTTCAATTGTAATAGCAGCTACTATAATTGTAATCAATTTAATACCTTTAACTACTGATAGAATTCCTATTTTCCCTCCCTGAGCCATAGAGTAGGAACTGTGATAGTGCATTGGTTTCCTGTTATAACAAATCACCCCCAAAGCTTAGTGGCTGAAAACAGATAGATGTTCATTATCTCAATTTCTTTGGATAAGGAATCCAGGCACAGCTTAGCTGGGTGCCTCTGGCTCAGGTTCTCTCAGAAGGCTGCAGTCTACCTGTTGGCCAGCGCTGCAGTCATCTGAAGACTTTATTAGAGGACAGCCAGCTTCAAGCTCATGTAAGTGGGTAGGACTCAGTTCCTCACAGGCTTTGGCTGGACATGTTGGTTCCTTTCCATGTGGGCCTCTCTGTAGGGCAGCTTACAATGGCAAGTGGCTTCCTTGAAAGTGAGTGAGCAGGAGACGATGCCCAAGATAGAAAATGAAGTCCTTTTATAACCTGATATTAGAAGTGATATCCCCTCATCTTTGTATTTGGCTAACTAGAAGTCACTAGGTCTAGCCTACCTTCAAGGGGAAGGGATTACAAAAGGGTTTGAATAAGAGGAGGTGGGGAACTTGGAGAGCCATCGTAATGGCGTTCCATCACCGTCTTCCCTCTGTCCCGAACTTCCAGTGATCCGTGTCCCTTTCACATGCAAAATTCACTTAGCCCTTCCAAGGCCCCTCTCAGAGTCTCACCTCATTACAGGATCACTTCAAAGTCAATAATCTTGTAATCTAACATAGGAACAGGTGCTAATGAGGCCCATAAAATATAGTTTCTTAAGTACGGGTATTGATCTGCAGACCTTTAGACTTAAAAAAAATAAAGAACAAGTCCTCTATCTGCTTCCCCTCCTCCACCATGCCTAACCAACACAGTAGAATCACTGCTCCACAGCAGTTCTGAAATTTGGCCAGACAAATGTTTAGAAAGTTCTTGATTAGGTCACAAGGCCTGGGATAGTTATCCGCCCTCTGAACTCTTGCTTCTGCCCTCTGAATCATCCTTTCGTCCTGAAGTACATTTGCAGCTCAATAGCTTTCTTAGCATGCTTCCCAGTACTAGAGTTTTAGGAATCTAGTGGTGTCACTTCATTTTGTGCCGTCTCTGTCCCTCTCACTCTTGTTGGTAGAGTTTCTACTGATTCTTCTGAAAATGTTGTAGGCTTCATGAAAATCTCATTGGGGGTCACTGCACTAGACGAAAGCCACAGCCACAAATCTCTTTGAGATAAGCTTCTTAGAGGCATGATTATTTGAATAAGAATCTCTCAGATCTCCTTAATCTCTTTACAGAGCTTTTGTGGGGTTAAATAGTACTCTCAGATAGCAGCTTTAGGTCTTGCTTTGTTGCTCAGGATGGAGTGCAGTGGTAGGATAACAGCTCACTCAAGCGATCCTCTCACCTCAGCCTCCCAGGTAGTTGAGACTACAAGTGTACACCACTATACCCAGCTAATTTTTGTATTTTTTTAAAGATGGGGTCTCACTATGTTGCCCAGGCTGGTCTCAATCTCCTGGGCTCAAGCAATCCTCCCACCTTGGCTCCCCACAGTGCTGGTATTACAGGTATGAGCAACCACACTGGCCTGATGTCTGTCATTAACTTTAGAAAATTCGCAGTCATTATTCAAATATTTTCTCTCTTCCCCTTCTGGTATTCCAGTTACACATATATTTCACTTTTTGTAATTTTCTTTTTTCATTTTTTTTCTTTGTAGTTCAGTTTGGCAAATTTCTATTAACATATCTTCAAGCTCACTCATTCATTTCTCAGAGTGTCTGGTCTACTGACAGTTTTGTTAAAGGTTTTCTTCATATCTGCTACAGCATTTTCAATTGCTAGGATTTCCTTTTGATTCTTTCTTACAGTTTGCATCACTCTGCTTACATTACCCATCTATTCTTGCATGTTGCCTACTTTGTCCGAGATGCTTCTCCTTCTGTGGGCTTCCCTAAGAACTCCTTCTTAAATAGAGTTTGTGCCTTGCAGCTTTCTCTGTTGTAATCCACTGTTATTGACCAGAGCCCCAGTAGTGTGGCAGTGAGGTACAGTGGGAAGGGAAGCATTCTATAATCTTATTATGAAATACCAGTTTTCTAGTGGGCTTGAGTCCTTGGACTGTGATCTTCAGAAGCACTTCTTAGCCTTTTAAAAATCTTGCCTTACTGAGACAGACAGGCTATAGAGGAACTCGAGCTGGCCAAATGCCTCTCCCCAAGGTCCAGCAACTCTAGTAAGTAGTGTTCCTTGGAGTGCAGTTGTTTATTATGGAGAATGCTGTGGTTACTGTTCTCCTTGCCTTGCCCAAAACCCTGGGATTTTCCCCCATTCTTCACTGTGAGAATTTGATAGGGTTTCTGAGGTAAAATTCAGGGAAGTGTGGGGACCCATCTAAGATTAGGCCCCTATGAGTTTTTAACTCACAAGTTAGCCCATACTAAGCCTCCAGCAATTCATCAAAATTATAAAATAAAAGTTTCTACCAGTTTATAGCTCCAATGGCTTCTGCTTTAAGTAAGCTAAGCTTGGGTGTGGTTTTCTGTATTTTTCTTTCTTAGTGTTTTGTGGTGTTGGTTTCCTTTCTATCTTTAGTTCTCTGATGGATCTAAGAAAAGTTGATTTTCAGTTTGTTGAATGATTTTGTTGTGAGAATGAGAATGAAGGCTTCTGAGCTCTTTATATGCCAGAGCTAAAGTGAGAATATCATTTTTATCCAATTCAAATAACCACAAAATGTTACAAGCTCTAAGATGACATTTGCTGTTTCATAGAGAAAGTATCTTCACAGCTAGACTTAGTTTTCTCATGATGTCTGAGGTAAACTGGATCCAGGAGAGTCCAGACCAGATGTGACTGTGTGGCCTTGAGTGATTGTGACTGGGAGGGTGAGTTAATTTCTGGTGAGCCAGTATCTGTGATGCTGTGTCTTGGTCAGCTGGGGCTGCTATAACAAAATATCCTAGACTGAATGACTTGACTAAGAAACTTTATTTTTCACAGCTCTGGAGGCTGGGAAGTCAAAGTGTTGGCACATTCAGCTCTTGGTGAGGGCTCTCTTCCCTTGCAAATAAATGGCTTACATCCTGCTGTGTCCTCACGTGGCCTTTTCTTGGTGGTTGTGTAAACATGGAGACCCCTCCTTCCTCTTTTGCTACAAGTGCACTAACCCCATCATAAGAGCATCACCCTTAAGTCCTAATCTAAATCCAATTACCTCCTCAAAGCCCCAAGTCCTAATGTCATCACACTAGGGGTTAGGGTTTCACCATATTAATTTTGGGTTGACACATTCAGCCCATAACAAGTCGTGTCATGATGAGACTGGTAATGCTAAATTTCGTGATTTCTTAAAAAAGCAAAACAAACTAAGCACCTACTATGTGCTGTTTTAGTCACTGGGAATATAACTCAACAGGACTGACGCTCTGTGCCTTCTTGGAACCTTCCTTCTAACAGGGAAAGAGAAAATGGGGTGGGGGGAAGTGAGGGGCGTACTTTATATCAGAGAGCGGTAACTAGTAGGCATGAAATAAAACAGGCCCGAACGTGCACCATCAGAAAGTCACAAGTGTGCAAAGCAGGCATATCTAAATCTCTTCTCTTTTCTATCTCGTAGGCTCCTCCCGAGCCCCAAGCCCCGCCCTGTGTCATGGATACAGCGTTTCAGTGCTGTGCACCTGCGCCTGCACACCCTACGCCTGAGGCCCCGCCCACCACAGGCGGGCGCGCCTGCGAGCTGGAAGCCGGTTGTCTGCCTCCTGAGCCTGGCAGCTGCATCTGCACACGCGGAGCCTGGCGATGGCTTCCAGAAACCCGGCGCCGGGGTTCGCGTCAGTGAAGCGGCCTGTACTTCGGGGACCCAGAATCTGGGCTGAGAGGCCTCCTAACCCAACCAGGAGGTCCAAGAGAGGTCCAAGAGAGGCCCAAGAGGGGGACACAGGCCAGTGACCTCCAGGCTTGCAGAGGCTCCGCTTCTGGCAAGCCCGGCGCCCGATTTCTGAACGCTGCTTCCGTCCGGGACTACACTTCCCAGAGGCCATTGCAGTGGAGGACACGCTCACTTCCGGAGAGGACCCGAAGCCAGACGAGTGAGAGTCCCGCCCGGTGCTGAGGAGAAAGCGGGCCCGGGCGGGGCGGCGGACGAGGCTAGACGGGGGCGCGGCGGGGGTGGTGTCCTGGCTGCGGCGTGGGCGGCGGTCGTGAGCGTGCGCGTGTGGCCTGGTGGCTGTGAGTGCCCATACGTGGTGAGCGTGTGGTGAGGCGCTGAGGAGGCGCGCGGGCGCGCGGTGGTCGGGGCCCGGTGTTTGGCTGCCGTGCGTGGCCGCGAATCCGCGCCCGAGCGCTCGTTCCGCCGGCATGCTGAAGGCGGACTGTGCTGGAGTGAGGGAAGCACTTTCAGTGGGCGAGAGCAGGAAACCGTCCCGGAGGAGGCGTACCCCGCCCGCTCCCGTACCGACTGCGTAGAGCCCAGTGTGGGCAAAGCCCGAGAGCCCGAGGCGGGTGCCCGGGCGGGGCGGCTTCTGCTGGAGCCTTTGCTGTCGGCCCCATCTGGAGGGGGCGGAACCGAGGACACGGCCCCATGTCCGCAGGACAGCGAGGAGCAGACACCATGGGATCTGAGTACCCAGGTGAGAGTGACCGATGACTTGGATGTGGCTGCGAGAGTGGACATGGAGGTTTTGGGTGCTGTCCTTCGGGGTCCAGGTGCTGGAGGAGGATGTCCCTGGTTTCTAAGGCTGGGGGACCCAGGAGTCCAAAGATTTGGAGCGTCTCCTTGCATCAGGGTGGAGCTGGGTTTACGCAGGGACCTTGACTTGCCCAGAGGCACCTAACGAGACCCTCGACTTCGGTCCTTGGGATGTCACTAAGGGCCCAGCGGAGAGAACATGACCCGTTATAACGTTACCTCTGGGTACTCTGCTGCTCTTCAAGGAAGATCTCGACATTTAGATTTTTATCCGTCAGAGCCTTGTCCTGTGTATCACTGTAGGGTGGGACTTGGGAAGAAGGCGAGATTCACAGCTTCACCTAGCAATGCCGAGGCATTCCCGCCTTCCTATGGCTTAATCACCTTCTAGTCACTAACAGAATATGTCCCCACTCCTTGGGCTACTCTCCCTCCCCTCTGGCCTCCCACTCCCAAAAAAAGGTAAATGGGGAAGAAGGGCTATTTTTAGCCATATTGTTCTTTGCTTGTTTCGCTTCATGCATGCAGTAGTCATAGCTAATGTTTAATGAGTGTTTATTATGTGCCAGACACAATTCTAAGATCTTTCAGGAGTATCAACACCAAACTTTACAACATTAAGAAGTAAGAACTACCTTACCTCCTTTTTACAGGTGGAGACACTGAAGCATGGAGAGGATAAATAATCACTAGTAAGTGAAAGAACCGGGATTCAGATCCAGAACAGGCTGACTCGAGAGTCCCTCTGTTTACTTACTGTCATGTAGTCTCCTTAACTACTGCCTGAGGTAGGTTTGTTAGCCACTTTTGACAGTTGACGAAACTGACTCTGAAAGGGTTAAAAAACTGAAAAGTTTATATCCCAGAACCTCCACTGAACAGGTTTGGGGTTTTTTTTTTCTTAAACTTTATGACTCTGAGTTCTTACATAGAATGGAGATGGTAATATTATATACCTCACAATACTGTCAGAAGGATTAAATGACTTCATGCATGTAAAGCACTTGGTATAGACCCTGCCATGTAATAAGTGTTCATTTTTATCATTATTATGATAATCCTCTGAGAAGGCAGTAGAATTTAGATGAAAGAATCCAGAATTAATTCAGATACTTTGTCCTCTTCCTAATTAAGGAAACTTGGCTTAGTGGAGTCAAGGCACTTCTTCAGCACTGTAGTTTGTAACAAAGCAAAATGAGATCCTGGGCCTCATGAGGATTTTTTGGTTTAGTTGTCTGAAAGTCACATGGACTCTGCTGTGACAAAAGGAATGCCTCTCTCTGGGGAAGATGGAATTCCCAAAGGAATTTGTCTTATAGAATCTTCACAAATCCTGGCCAGTTACACAGAGGACTTACTTTCTGGTGTCTGAGCAAATAACTTTTGTGGTAGAATCAGCCAGATCTAGGTTGGTGACTGAGTTTCATTGTTTACAAACTTGGTGTGACTTGTGAAAAAAACCTGTCTTCCCAGAGCTTTCATGTGTAAAATGGTGACAGTATACTCTATTCCCTTTGAAGATTGTGGAGATTTAAAGAGAGTATTAATATATGCAGCACAGACATGGTGGCTCATGCCTGAAATCCCAGCACTGTGGGAAGCCAAGGCAGGAAGATTGCTTGAGGCCAGGAGGTTGACCAGATACCCAACTCTAAGAGGTTGCTACCTCCTGACCTAAAGCAATATAGTGAGCAATTAGGCAATATAGTGAAACCTCCATCTCGATATAAAGTAAAAAAACAAAACAAAACAAAACAAAAAACTAGCTGGGCATGGCACTTGCCTGTAGTCCTAGCTACTAAGAAGGCCTAGGATGGAGAATCACTTGAGCCCAGAGTTTGAGGATGCAGTAAGTTATGATCACATCACTGTACTCCAACCTGGGCAACAGAGTGAGGCCCTGTCTTAGAAAAAAAAATGTACACACACACACAGAACACCTGGTATTAATATATCTGTTGTTAATGAGTTGGTGGCTGATGAGGAGAGGGGATCAAGAGATACTATGCTCATCCTGAAAACCCAGAGCAGAGGGGAATCCCAGCTGTGTATTTCAAGTTTCCCAAGGAGTATCTGGACTGTTGGGTGAGGGAGTTAGAGTGGGGGTTGTGAGTGAGGACAGAAAGAGCTGAAGGGAAGAAAGCATTTTTAGACTTAGACTATTAGTGCTACTTGGATTTTCACTACTTCTTTCTCCTCCCCAGCTCTGCAATCCCAGAGTAAAGCTCTTCTCCAAATGAAGAGCCAGGAAGAGGGAGAGGTGACAGAAATTAAACTTCTTAAAGCCATGTCCCCGGTGAGTTAGTATTCCCTCTCTCCCCACTAAAATAGTCCTGCTTTTCAGGATTTGGTAATACTTGTTTTCTTCTGAAAATTTTCTGCTTAAGAGTTCCACCCTGAGGCCTGTTTCCCGTTTCTTTCCTTTCTGATCTGTGATGGGATTGTGAGTAAGGGTTAGACTCACACAGCCCAGTGCCCTCTCAGAGGTTTCTTCTCTTCTTTTTACTCAGTTTATTTTTCATTCGAGAAATGACCAGTCTGAGTCCTTCCTTTGTGCTCAATCTTTTCATAGGCATCTGACAAGGCAGATGCACAACGTTTGGAGGAAATTTCCATGCCTAATTCCTAAGTCTCAGTCCTGATTCTCAGAGAGGTTATAATCTGTTGGAGAAATGAAAAGGCAACAAACGCTTATGCAGTGTGATAAGTGCTGCAAGCAGAGAGTAGACTCACAGTGGAATAGTTGGGAAAGGTCATAATGTCTTGGGTGAATTAGAAAAAAAGATGCCCCTTCCTCTGGACTGGTGAAGCTCTGTGACAGACCATACAGTATGGCAAGAGGAAGTCTACTGTATTTTAGCTCCTTCCTGCCTTCTTCGTGAGGTATCCTTGAGCAGGATATAGCCTGCACTATCATGCTCACTCCTGAGGACAGGAAGGGTTGGGGAGACTTCACAGAGGTAATGATTCCTAAGTTATGGCTTGAATGAAATGGAGGAAGTGCAGGCACAGGTAGGATTGCTGGCATTCTGACTAGAGTATGCAAAGGTTTGTCCTCCCCATTTGACCATGGAGCCATGAGCATTGTAAATGCCAAGGAATGTTTTACCTCCTTTTTTCTTTCTAGGATGAATACCATAATCTGTTTAATCAGCCCCTTGTTGTTCCATAGGTAAATTGTTGCCAATTATCTGCCATTAATAGAGTATTGCAGTAATCATCCTTGTAGTTGAATTTTTGCCCTCATCTCTGATGAATTTCTTTAACTAAATTCCTAGTTTTTCATTCCTTGTGGTTAGAGTTTCTCAAACTGACCCTAGTCTAGAACATTTTTAGTTTTATTATTTTTTTGGCCAACAACAGGAGCTTCAGAGCTACAGTTCATGTTCTGATTAAGATAAACTGCTAAACTAGTTTCACCAGCAAATTGCTTATTATCAGAAAGTATTTAACTTGATTTACAAACTTAGAAAATTAAATTTTTTAAAATGGAGTAGTTAAGTGTTTTTTTTGAGATGGAGTCTCACTCTGTCACCCAGGCCAGAGTGCAGTAGCACAGTCTTAGCTTACTGCAACCTCCACCTCCCAGGTTGAAATGATTTTCCTGCCTCAGCCTCCTGAGTAGCTGGGATTGCAGGCATGTGCCACCATGCCTGGCTAATTAAAAAAAAAATTTTAGTAGAGACCAAGTTTTACCATGTTGGCCAGGCTAGTCTCAAAACTCCTGACTTCAAGTGATCTGCCTGCCTCGGCCTCCCAAAGTTCTGGTATTACAGGTGTGAACCACTGTGCCTGGCCATTTTTTTTTTTTTATAATAGGCATAACAGCTTGTGGCCAGAGCATGACACCTTTTCTTAGGTATAATGCCAAAAACATACACTACCAAGGTAACTTGTTTCTTAGAGCATTTAGACATTTTAAACAAAAGCATTCATTATCAGTTGCCAGAGAAAAATATTTTAAGAGTGGCAGAATATGTCATGAACGTTAAGATGGACTATGCACACTCTACTCTTTTTCCCACTGAAAGTTGCTATAAAACCAGGACAGCAAGCCTGGAACAGCTATCTGAGGTCTCTGTAAAGTAAATAGTAGCAGAAAGGCCAGACACAGTGATTCACACCTGTAACCCCAGAACTTTGGGAGGCTGAGGTAGGTAGATCACTTGAGGCCAGGAGTTCAAGACCAGCCAGCCTAGCCAACGTGGTGAAACCCTGTCCCTACCAAAAAAATTTTAAAAAATTATAAAAATTAGCCAGGTGTGGTGATGCACACCTGTAATTCCAGCTATCTGGGAGGCTAAGGCATGAGAATCGCTTGACCTGGGAGGTGGAGGTTACCATAAGCGAAGATCATACCACTGCACTCCAGCCTGGGCAACAGAACAAGACTCTATCTCAAAAAAAAAGGAAAGAAGAAAAAAGTGGTAGCAGGCACATTGGAGAAAAAGCACCAGATTTCAGGTACCATCAGACCATGGTGTATTTACCTTCAAGAGACTTAAAACCTGGAAGTGGATAATGGTGTGGACAGAAAGAACTGCAAGAGATGCCTTCTACTTGATAATCAAAGTGCTGAAAGCTAAAGACAAAGAAAAAAAATCTCAAAAACCAACCATTGAAAAATGATGCATAACATATAAAACAACAGTGATTTGAATGACTGTGGATTTCTTAGCAGAAATCATGGAGCCAGAAGAGAGATGAACATTTTTACAAGTGCTTAAAGAAAGTAACCATCAACCTAGAATACTATGTCCAGGGAAAATAGCCCTAAGGAATGCAGATGAAATAAAGTTATTTGTAGGAAGGAAAACTAAGAACATTCATTGCCAGAATTCTATACGAATCACTAAAGGGAGTTCTTCAGATAGATATTATACCAGAAGGGGACTTGGAGCATTTGGGTGAAGGAAGTGCAATAGAAATGGGAAATATTGTATGTAAATACAATAGACTGTTCTCTTTTGTAAAAATATCTGCAGTGGTTAAAAACAAAGCTAATAGCTTAAATAGAATGGTATTTTAATGTAGGTGATCTAGATTCAGAGACCATGTCTTAACTATTTAGTATACTACAGTTAGATAAAATAAGATGTAAGAACTATTATTGAAGTATTAAATGTTTCACCTATTCTTCTTGGCCTCTTCTTCCTTCTCTTTCTTTTTCCCCTTCTGTCCATCCTTATCACAGGCAACAATTCATTAGCAGTTATATTGTGCCAGGCATTTTATACCTGTTTCTTTTTAATTTCCACAGTGCTGCTATGAAGCAAGTACTATATTTCCATTTTTCAGGTGGGAAAACTGAGGCACAGGGAAGTTAAACTTGGCCAACCTCACCCAGCTAGTTAGTACTAGAGATCAAATTCATTGGAGTAATCTGACCTTTTTTTCTGATTTATTCATGACTTGTATTTATTTTAAACTCTGATGTTGATATAAGTGAAGTCATGAAATAAATTGAAAATCTGCCAGTAACAGTCCAGTGGATCACCTTGTGGGTTGGTTAGGAAATGGAGCTTATGTAACAACATACATGTTGCTTGATATGTGCTCATGTCCTGTGATTTCTCCTGATAACTTCTCATTAGACTATCAAAAACCAACTTTTGGCCTTGGTGGCTCAGGCCTTTAATCCCAGCTCTTTGATAGGCTGAGGTTGGAGGATTATGAGAGGCCAGGAGTTTGAGATCAGTCTGGGCAAATAGTGAGGTCCCCATCTCTGCTAGCTAAATAAATAAGTAAACAAACAAACAACTTTTCAAATGCGTTCTTCTCTCCTAATACAAATATATTTTTGTATCAGAAGGAAAAACTATAGCTAGGCGTTTTTTTTCTTTCATTTTTAAGGCATCCCTCTTACATCTCAAGAACACTAAGATTTCTTAGCAAATATTATGGAGATTGAAATTATGTTCATCAGGTCAGTGTTCTTCCTTGCAGGTTTTTTCCACAGTTCCAGAGCTCTTTAGTTTTTCCATACAGAGTAGTGATTTAGCTCCCAACATAAATAGCATTGCATTAGCACTTGATTATATGCTGTTTTGAATGTAGTCAGCATTTTCTCATTAGTAATGTATTCTTACCACCATAGAATTGCAAATGTTTGAAGAGCAAGGAATATCTCATTTTTTCTTTTTCCTAATCTGTACGATACAACTAGGCAGAAAAGTTGTTCACTAACTTACCTGACCTGGATCATTTAGACCCTTAGTTCAGTTACTTATTCACAGTGTTTTTAATCCCAAAGTGAGGACAGCTTAACCTTTTACCCTAGAGCCACATTGGAATGTGAACACTGAGTGAGCAAGATTATATTTGTGTCATTTTAGGGTTCAGTGACTTTCACAGATGTGGCCATAGACTTTTCCCAAGATGAATGGGAGTGGCTGAATCTTGCTCAGAGAAGTTTGTACAAAAAAGTGATGTTAGAAAACTACAGGAACCTAGTTTCAGTGGGTAAGAGTATCTTCCTCCTTCTACCTCTTCATTACTTAGTAGTCTTTTATGCTGTTACCAGAATTTCCCACAGTCTTCCACAGCATAGGCAATTTTTATATCTTTTTTTACATGCAGGTCTTTGCATTGCTAAACCAGATGTGATCTCCTTACTGGAGCAAGAGAAAGACCCTTGGGTGATAAAAGGAGAGATGACCAGAGGCCTGTGCTCAGGTAAGTGCAGGATACCCAGAGATAAACTGTTCTCAACATGTTCTTCTCTCTGAAAAGTGTTGGAAGACACCTCTCAAACTCCCTCTGAAATTGAAACTTATTCTTCTAACACCAATTTTTGAATGGTTATTCTCTTCCCTACTGGTGTAACATACCTGCTTTACCTTTACTGATTTCTTATGCATACCAGGGTCGAAGTTCTTGCTTTACCGATGTTTACCTAATTCTGCTCAAGCACCATAGTGTTGTCGTCATCCCTGATTTCAAACATTTCTGAATGCTTTAGACAAATGGATGTTTAGTTTTTTTGAACTGTTTTTAAATATTTCCCTTTCTTTAAAAGGTGAGTAGATTGAGTTAACATGTATTACAGCTGTGTTCTTTCTGCCTTTTTCTCTTTTGTATTTCTTTTGTTATTTATTCTTGTTTTGTTGTTTATTGGGTCTGTTTTTCTCACTGTCTTCTTTACACCACCCCATGCTTTGAATTAGAAAAGCTTTTAGTTCTACAAGTTGTTACCTTTATGTATTTATATATTTTTAAATCTTCTAGAATATTTCTGCTTGAAATTCCAAACGTTATCTTCTGATACCCTTATGAAAGAAGAAGAAATTAGCTTATGAATATTACTTATTTTCCCTGTGTTCATCATTTCCCCTCTTACATTGTACTCACTGGGATTTTTGGCCCAGGGCGTATTATTCAGTTTTTTAAAAAAAATTTTCTGGCCTTGCTTTGTAGCTGTTTCGCTGATTTAGAAAACTAGATAAGAGATGGAGATGACAGAAATATATTGCAAAGAAAAGAACCTCAAACGAGATGGTCCTGGTTTAGTCTGTGGCCTGAAGCATAGACTTTTCCTACTTTTGGTTCTTCTTCATTTAATTTAATTTAATTTTTGAAATTAGAGACAGGATCTTGCAATGTTACCCAGGCTGGAGTTAAACTTTTGGGCTCAAGCAATACTCCCACCTCAGCTTCTTGAGTAGCTAGGACTACAGGATTGCACACCACACCTGGCCCTACTTTCAGTTCTTATAGTTTCAAGAAGAGGATTGAGGGTCACTTGTGGTCCTAACTATGTACATTAATAAATAAGAAATAATTAAAATCAGTAAGCATCCAATTCACAATATTAGAACAAAATGAATTTAAGGAAAATCTGGATAAGTTATATGTTGTGATTTATACTTCTAGAAATAAAAGTAGGAATAAATGAATTAGAAACAGTAGCTCTAGTGAAAATAAATCAAGTATTGTACATACTTCATTAGAAAACCAATACAATATATAAACTGTAAGGACAAATGAGAGAAAACACAAAAACAAAATAATTATAAATAAGCACATGTATAAGAATTTAAAAGAATCGTATGAATCTCTTTTCCTCAACTCTCTGTAAATAATTTGAAAAAATAGATTACATTCTAGGAGAGTATAAAAATGTAGGTTACTGTAACTAATACCAAGAGGAGCTATAAAATTTAAACAAGTAGTTACCATCAAAGAAATGTTGAATGTTGTATAGAAACTGCCTCCCCCAAGAAAAGAAGCTACATTCACAAATAGTTGTTTAAGGAAAAAAATTCACCAATGTTGTTTAAATTGTTCTGAGATAGAGAATAGAAGGAGAGCTTAAAATATATTTATCAATATAGCATATCCTATGATACCAATATCTACCATAATAGCACCAAAAAGGGAAATTAGACTCAAACCTCAAATACCAATATTGGTTCAAAATCTTAAAATAGTATACCATGACCAGTGAGGATTTATTATAGCAGTACAAGGATGGTTGTATCACTAAATCTTATATAAGAACTATAAAACATGTACCTCTGCTTGTGGGTTTCAATAACTATGTGATCCGCATTCTCATTTTTGAAGTTTCCATTTTAGCATTTAATAAAGGAGACATTTGCTTTCTAAATATCTTTCAGACTTGGAGTATGTGTGGGTGACCAAGTCATTATCTCCAAATCAGGATATTTATGAAGAAAAATTACCCCCCACAATAATAATGGAAGGATTTACAAGTTATAACCTTGAATGCTCAACATTAGGGAAAAGCTGGAAATGTGAAGACCTGTTTGAGAGGGAGCTTGTAAATCAGAAGACACATTTTAGACAAGAGACCATTACTCATACAGATACTCTTATGGAAAAAAGAGACCACTTCAACAAATCTGGGATAGATTTTCACCTGAATACATTATCTTATATAAAACAGGTGTTTCCCATGGAAAAGAAAACATTTCATTTTCATACAGATAAGAAAAGTCTAAAAATACATTCATTTGTGAAAAAACACAAGCAAGACTGTGGAGAAAAGAAACTTTTAAAATGTAATGACTGTGAGAAAATGTTCAGCAAAATCTCAACCCTTACTCTTCACCAAAGAATTCATACTGGAGAGAAACCCTATGGATGTATTGAATGTGGAAAGGCCTTTAGCCAGAGTGCCCACCTTGCTCAACATCAGAGAATACACACAGGAGAAAAACCATTTGAATGTACTGAATGTGGGAAAGCCTTCAGCCAGAATGCTCATCTTGTTCAACACCAGAGAGTTCATACTGGAGAGAAACCTTATCAGTGTAAGCAGTGTAATAAAGCATTCAGCCAGCTTGCACACCTTGCTCAACATCAGAGGGTTCACACTGGAGAAAAACCCTATGAATGTATTGAATGTGGGAAGGCTTTTAGTGATTGTTCATCCCTAGCTCATCATCGAAGGATTCACACTGGGAAAAGACCCTATGAATGTATTGACTGTGGGAAAGCTTTCAGGCAAAATGCTTCTCTTATACGTCATCGGCGATATTATCATACTGGAGAGAAACCCTTTGACTGCATTGATTGTGGAAAGGCTTTCACTGATCACATAGGGCTTATTCAGCATAAGAGAATTCATACCGGAGAGAGACCTTATAAATGTAATGTGTGTGGGAAGGCTTTTAGCCATGGCTCATCTCTGACAGTACATCAGAGAATTCATACAGGAGAGAAACCTTATGAATGCAGTATCTGTGAGAAAGCCTTCAGCCATCGTGGGTCTCTTACTCTTCATCAAAGAGTTCATACTGGAGAGAAACCCTATGAATGTAAGGAATGTGGGAAAGCGTTCCGGCAGAGCACGCATCTTGCTCATCATCAGAGAATTCATACTGGAGAGAAACCTTATGAATGTAAGGAATGCAGCAAAACCTTCAGCCAGAATGCACACCTTGTACAACATCAGAAAATACACACTGGGGAGAAACCTTATGAATGTAAGGAATGTGGTAAGGCCTTCAGTCAGATTGCACACCTTGTTCAGCACCAGAGAGTTCATAGTGGTGAGAAGCCTTATGAATGTATCGAATGTGGGAAGGCCTTTAGTGATGGCTCATATCTTGTTCAGCATCAGAGACTCCACACTGGCAAAAGACCATATGAATGTCTTGAATGTGGGAAGGCATTCAGACAGAGGGCATCCCTGATTTGTCATCAGAGATGTCATACTGGTGAGAAACCTTATGAATGTAATGTTTGTGGGAAAGCCTTTAGCCATCGTAAATCCCTTACTCTACATCAGAGAATTCATACAGGAGAGAAACCTTATGAGTGTAAAGAATGTAGCAAAGCCTTCAGCCAGGTAGCCCATCTTACGCTACATAAGAGAATTCATACTGGAGAAAGGCCCTATGAGTGTAAAGAATGTGGAAAAGCCTTCAGGCAGAGTGTACACCTTGCACATCATCAGCGAATTCATACTGGGGAGTTATCAGTTATTCTCTCCTCTGCCCTCCCATACCACCAAGTCCTATAGATTCAATCTTGTAAATGCCTCTAGAATCCATCTGCTTTTTTTCCAGCACATGTCGCATCATCATAGTCCAAGATGCAACCATCTCATCTGGATTTCTGCAATAGTGTAACTCTTGCCCCTTTTGCTCCTATCAAGTACATGTTTAACATTGTAGGCAGCCTAATCTTTGAAAAATAAAAATACATATTTATGTTACCTTCTCATTTAAAACATTTGATTTGAAAAATATATTAACTAATCCATTTTAAGGATTTAGCGCACACTATTTGGTATATAGCTAGTGCTAAATAATTGCTAGTCATAAGGTAAAGGTTTCCTTATAAACTATCATATTAAGCCACAAGCATACCAAACCAGTAAGTCAAGACTAAGATTTTAGAGCAGACAGAAGAATATACTTTCCTGGTAGAGAGAAGGAAATGAACAAACTCAGAATTTAAAGATGTATGGTACACAAGGTAACATGGTAGCTCATCACTCCCTCTGTGACATTGTTGATGAGGAACTCTCACTTGACCTGACACTGAGAAGAGAGAATCAGCCAATTAGAAAAAAAGCTTTTAGCTGGGCGTGGTGGCTCATGCCTGTAGTCCCAGCACTTTGGGAGGCCAAGGCAGGCAGATAGCTTGAGCTCAGGGGTTTGAGATCAGCCTGAGTGACATGGTGAAATCTTATCTCTACAAAAAAAAACACAAAAATTAGCCAGGCATAATGGTGCACACCTGTAGTCCTAGCTACTCAGGAGGCTGAGACAGGAGGATCATTGGAGCCAGGAGGCAGAGGCTGCAGTGAGTCATGATCACACAACTGCAATTCCAGCCTGGGCAGCAGAGCCAGGCTGGAAGAAAAATTTAAAAAGAACAAAAGCATTTGGTAGAATGCAGAAATGTAGAACTAACCACTAACCCAGGGAGGAGTAGTAAAAATAACAAGCCAAAGAACGTGAATAGATTAATAGCTATGAAACAAACTGAAAAGGGTAGTTCAATACTTTCACTTTTGTAAAAGTACCACAGGCAATTTCTGTGGTGTTTAAATAGTCCTAGCATAAAACAAAATGCAAACTTTCCATCTTCATCCTTGAGATTGACAAGACATGCCAAAACATAAAAATATGTACACTGCAATTAGCTTCTGAATGTAGATGTTACAACTTAAACTTATTTTCAAAACATTAAAAAATAGGAAGGCTAGACATGTCTCTGTATAGAAAGTCTGATAAAGATATTTCTAAGTTAAATTTGTAAATTCATGGATATTCAAATAAAAATAACATTCCAATAAAAATCTCCAATATATTTTTTAGTTGAGAAGCTAATTTGGATCATCTGTAGAATTTTGATTTTAGCAAGGAATGTAGTTTACACTGGGAATGTAGTACTAATACTAATTGAACATTTGCTAATGTGTCACACTGTTTTAGGTGCTGGGGGATACAACAAGGTACAAAATGGACAAAAATGTGTGCTCTTACAGATCTAGTAGAAAAGAAAAAATTAAATACATGCCTTGTGATAAATATATAGTATGTCCCATAAAGACAAAGGGTCTAAAAAAGAAGCTAGGGAGTGCTGGATCAGGCACCTTACTATCCCCAGAATATGTGGGTTAGAGACAGAGGATGAGGGAGGAACTAGAGGTAACTGTGAGACACAAAAGGCATAATGAAAACAGTCATGATAATCTCAAGACAGATATTATGATGCTTTGAGTGTTGGAGGAAGGGAGGATTGATGGTTTAGCAGAGATTGTGGCAGTTACGTTCACTCATATAAATGTTGATTTAGAGGCTGTTGGAAGGTGATCACCCTGTGACACTGTGTATACAGCGTCCTGGACATCTGCAGCAGTGGTGGGCCCCACATCACCGGAAGCAGTGTGAAATAACAGCAGAAGTAGGAAGAAAGGCAAAGCACTATAACCATTACTACACAGTAGAGTGGCCCCCACACTCCCCCAAATGTACAACATCATAATGGCCCCTATAACCTCCCTTTGCCCAAAAGTCTCCCCCCACATTACTACACATCGTGTTTCCACTATTATAAGACCCTGTCTTATATTAATTTTACCCCCAAAAGACGGGGGCCGTCTTATTTTTAGGAGGTGTCTTATAATAGGGGAAACATGCAGCAGTGGGCTTCCCACAGAAGAGGCCCACCACTGCTGCAGATGTCCAGGACGCTGTATACACAGTGTCACAGGGTGATCACCGCCATCCCTGTATACAGCACTAGAGGCAGTGCTGCGCCTGTGACACTGTATACCGCTGTCTGGGATAGTGGAGGCAGCAGCGCTGGCTGTGAAGGGTATCACACCTTGCATAGTCCGGCCCTCCAACGGTCTGAGGGACAGTGAACTGGCCCCCTGTGTAAAAAGTTTGGGGACCCCTGCCCTATCCTCTCTGTATCCATCAGCAGAAGTGAAGAGGGAGCCCCAAAGCTCCACTTAAAGTGTACAACTTACAGCTTTTAGTTCATTCACAGAGTTGTGCAACCATCACCACGGTCAATTTTAGAACATTTTCATCACCTCGAAGAGGAATTCTGTGTTCTTTTGTAGTAATGTTTATCCCTGGAAGAGTACTTTTTTTTTTTAAACTGAAGCACCCAGACCTCTTGGGTTCCCTCTTAACTGCTTCCCGTGGCAGTATACAGGGCCGTGTGAGGAAAGCTCTTATCCAGAGTACATGAATGCTAGAAAATGGAACTTGGGGCTCCCTCTTCACTTCTGCTGATAGAACCATAGTGGTTAGGGGATGGGTAGTCTCATGAGAGAATGTGGAACTTTCAGACTCCCCTTATATAAAATGAAAAGTATTTTTCATTGTAGTGGGGAAAAGGTGGTTTGATCAGATGTCATTGGGAAACTTAGCTCACTGCAAAAACAAATCTGTACAGATCTGTACCTTTCACACTAACAAAGGCCTAAGAGATTAAAGGTCTAAATGTAAAATTAACGTACATGAAAAACAGAATAATATTTCTGTACCCTTGGTTTCAAATAGACTTGAGGCATTAATGCATAACCCCAAAGCTGACATTCGACTTTTATATTGTGGAAAACATCACAGTCAGTAGATGAATGCGAGACTGACACAAAATGTTTGCAACAAATATAACAAAGAACCCTAATTCATTATATTCAAAGTACTATTACAAACCAATAACACTCTGCCACTTAGAAAAATGGACAAAACTAATGGCCCATTCACAAAAGATGAAATAAAAGCAGTTAATGAAAATTATCCAATATCACTAGAAATCAAGGAAATGCAAATTAAAGTGATTATCTACTTTTTCCCCAAAAGACTAATCAATGGATAACATCCAGTATTGGTGAATATGTGTAAACAAGGCAATTTCATTGTTGATTCTATGTCTATTGTTTTATGTATATACCCTTTGAATTAATATTCCTTGGAAACCAACATATACAAAGATAGATAAATGTATTAGTGGCAAAAAAAATTAATGGTAAACTATTAAACAACCTAAGTTCCAATCAGGATAATGAATAAATTAATTATGGTATATATCCATTCAATTGGAATTATGCAGCTGTTGAAAAAAATATAAATGTGTATAGTCAGAGAAAGATAGCTGTGTATACTAAATGAAAAATTGCAGACCTGTATTGTAGTATAGACTCATAGTATCAAAAATAAAAATAAAAATATATATTATAGTAGGCATCTGTTTTTGTCTGCCCAGCTTCACTTGCCTCTTCCTCTTGGCTGCACCATCTCATCCTTTCTTTTGAGTAACTGGCAATACCCTACCATATGGTTCTGATGGATGTGGCCAGTAAAATCGTCTCTGAATTTCAAAAGGCATTTGGGTCTGTGTCATCCAATGACAACTCTCTAAAAATGGATACAGTTATTCTTTTGGAATCACTCAGTTTCTGTACTTTCTAAGACTGTAATTCCTCAGACTACCCATTATCTTTCCAGCACTTGATTTTTGCCTCCAGTTGGTCAGTTGCTTGCAATTAAAGAAATAATCATACAGAATTTGGTGTGAAGATTGGGTAATAGGCATTAGAATCTTTGGAAAATTAGGTATTGGGAGTTGCTTTTTGGATGAGATGGGGCAAATAAGACTTATTTTCTAACCTGTAAAGCAACTCATGGTGTACAATGAGCAAACGCCTGGTTATTATTAATTGTAGTCACCTGGGATGAATAGAGGTCTAGGATTCTGGATAATGACAATTTAAAGAGGATGGAGAATGCTGACTCCAAAAGGTATATCTAATACTGGTATCTAACTGCTTTTAATAATTTAAAGTTTAGCTGTTGAACTTTTAGCATTAAAGCAAAAAATTCAACTAAGGGATTTCATGTGTTATTGTTGAAAAATGTCTTACACTGTTTGAAGTCATAGGGATTAAGATGGCTCAAAATTCAGAGACTATTTAGAGACTATTTTGATGCATTGCTAAAGTGGAATGCTGGTTAAATTTCATACTTTATTCACAATAGTCACTGTGAATTGAACTGTGAATTCACTTCTGAATTGTGTTCCCACCACCACCATCACCAAATTTACTTGTCGAAGTCCTAAACCCCAAAGTGACTGTATTTGGACATAAGGCCTTTAAGAAACTAAGGTTAAGTTAAGCCTAATCCCACAGGACTAGTGTCGTTGTAAGAGGAAGAGACACCAGACCTCTGTCTCTCTCCACATGTGCACAGAGGAAATGCCATGTAAGGACACAATAAGAATGCTGCCATCTGCAAGCCAAGAGGAGAGATCTCACCAGGAACCAGCCCTGCCAGCACCTTGATCTTGGACTTTTAGTCTCCAGAACTGTGAGAAAATAAATGTCCGTTGTTTAAGCCACCCAGTCTATGAAAAGATGCTCAATGTCATTAGTCATTAGGGAAATGCATATCAAAACCACAATGAATTGCCCCCTGGAAGGGCCAGAGGGCAAGGAATGCTGGGTGACAGAGCAAGACGTTTCCTCAAAAACAAACAATCGGGCCGGGCGCGGTGGCTCAAGCCTGTAATCCCAGCACTTTGGGAGGCCAAGGCGGGTGGATCACGAGGTCAAGAGATCGAGACCATCCTGGTCAACATGGTGAAACCCCGTCTCTACTAAAAATACAAAAAATTAGCTGGGCATGGTGGCGCGTGCCTGTAATCCCAGCTACTCAGGAGGCTGAGGCAGGAGAATTGCCTGAACCCAGGAGGTGGAGGTTGTGGTGAGCAGAGATCGCGCCATTGCACTCCAGCCTGGGTAACAAGAGCGAAACTCCGTCTCAAAAAAAAAAAAAAAAAAAAAAAAAAAAAAAAAAATCCTGTAACGTGTGCACACATATTTATTCCATCTTAATTTTGTTCTAATAAAACACCTTGCATATAGGAACTAGCCATGTATTCCTTTGTTCCCACTGAAAGATTTGTTTTCTTTATTAAAAAGAAGCACACACACATTGATCTACACCAGGCGTCCCCAAACTTTTTACACAGGTGCCAGTTCACTGTCCCTCAGACCGTTGGAGGGTCGCCACATACTGTGCTCCTCTCACTGACCACCAATGAAAGAGGTGCCCCTTCCTGAAGTGCGGCGGGGGGCCGGATGCAGTCCACGGGCCGTAGTTTGGGGACGCCTGGCCTAAAGAGTAGAGATGGAGCAATGGAACAGAATAGAGACCCCAGAAATAGATGTACATCAATGTAGTCAGCTGATCTTTGTCAAAGAAGCAAAGGCAACTTAATGGAGAAAGAAGAGTCTTTTCAAAAAACAGTGCTGGAACAATGGGATATCTGAATGCAAAAAACAGACACAGACATTTTTCACAAAATTAACTTAAAATGGATCATAGACTTAAATGTAAAAATGTAAAATTATAAAACTCCTAGAAAGTAACAGGAGAAAATCTAGGTGACCTTCATTTTAGCAATGAGTTTTTAAATGCAAGATTGAAAAGCACAATCCAGAATAATAAAAATAAAAGCACAATCCATAAAAGAAAAAACTTATAAGCTGTTCATTAAAATTAAAAACTGCTTTGTGGGCTGAGCCTGGTGGCTCATGCCTGTAATCACAGAACTTTGGAAAACCAAGGTGAGTGGATCATCTGAGGCCAGGAGATTGAGACCAACCTGGCCAACATGGTGAAACCCTGTCTCTACTAAAAATATAAAAAATTAACTGGGTGTGGTGGTAGGCACCTGTAATCCCAGCTACTCAGAGGCTGAGGGAAAAGAATGCCTAAACCCAGGAAACGGAGGTTGCAGTGAGCTGAGATCATACCACTGTCTCAAAAAGCAAACAAAAAACTGCTGTGAAAAATCCTGTTACACTTAAAAGACAAACCACCACTGGGGGGAAGTATTTTCAAAATACATAGCTGCTAAAGGACTTACATACAAAATATACAAAGAACTCATAAAACTCAACAATAAGAAAACAACTCACTTGAAAAATGGGCAAAAGATCTAACAAAAACCAGAAAAGAGGATATACAGATGGTAAATAAGCACAGGAAAAGATGCTTACCATCATATTATCGTCATTTGTCATTAGGGAAT